CGAAGATGAAGTATATCCTTTTAGCGCTAGAAGGCGTTAGTTACCTGTTCGTAGCGTATCTTAAGCCTTTCTGCCCCGTCAGACTATCCTCGAGGTTTGCTTACCAGCATAAAAAGGATCATATGCCTCTTTAATGTAAGCTTTTACTTCGCGCATCGCCTCATGACAAGGTCGGTATGACTCGAGCATTAGGACTCCATTCAATCAAAATCGAAACCGAGTCAGCTCTCCATCTACCATGCCATTAACGCCATGTTTACAGGACTTTATTTGCCACGCTCAAGTAAAAATGAATTTAATCGGACCTATTTCGAACAAACGCAGCAACTCCGTTCTCCCTCTTTCCCTAGCCTTCGCCCCTTTCCCTGCCCCATCTCCCCAACAAAGTTAGAGACATACAAACTTGGTTTGAAAATATAGCATATTAGAAATATGGAATGTACATATTTACAGATTGCAAACTTATGAGAGACCATTGAGCTTAACTGATTGCAGAACATAGAGACTACTATAAGTCTAAGGCACAGTTGCTTGGCAGTGCAGATGTAGAGCGTCATGGCCAACGTAGGTTCTCCAGACAGGAAGACTGGCGCTCTGACCAATCAGCTGGTTACACTTACTGCAAGGGACAGTAAAGATGGCATGGTAGCTATGCAGCCAAGAGAAAAGACTGCGCACTGCTGATTGTGGGTTAGACTCCTTGGAAAAATGAAGAAGCGCGCACCGAGCCAACCTGGTCAATTCACGATAGAGACTATATCGACTAGGGGAGAAAAGATCAAGTAGGCTGAGAGGCAGCTCGCAAGAAGGAATACGGAAGCCTTGAAGTGGGGTTGGCATTTCTAGAGGCAGAAGGAGGCTGCGAATAGTCAGACCCACAGAAATAACACTTAGGTCATTGGAGTTCAGCATGGCTGGAAGCCGACCGACAAGAGTGTTTGCAGGCAGCGATTGCAGTGAACTCAAGGCCGTGGACTGAGCTCGTCGATGAGGAGATCCATCCGAGAAAGCTTCGTTTGCTGGAAAATGTGGCCTCCCATCCGGACAAGGTAAAAGAAAGGACTCATCCAGACCTTTTATAAGGATATGCTCAGGATGTAGCTGACGAAAAGAAACCATACATTGCATAACGTCAGATATCTAAAGGAAAATAATGCAAAAAGGATGGTAACTTAAGGGATTCGTATTGAAAGTTTAGGGAGGTAAAAAATTGCAAGTCTTTGGCATTTAAACATAAATCGAAGTTAAGATTTAGCAAGCGTTACAAGGAGTTAAGCCTTTAAGTTGAAAACAGGCAAAAAGTTAAGCGAAAAATATTTTCGGTATAAGAATGTAAACAATTGGACGCAGTAGATCACTGCTATTTCTAAGCTTGATAATCAAGCTTTAAGTGAAGTAAAATATATCGAATCAAAATAGCACCTGCACATGCAGTAGAATTTAAAGTTGTGGGATTAAAAAAAACAAAGCGTTGCAACTAAGCAGAGGAAGTTGAAATCAAAATTAGCGAAAACATTGCATATTGCTTAAACGAACTCGGAGGAAACAAGTGAACATAAAAAATAAGCAAAAACGAGAGGCCTAGATCAATGATCTAGCTTGAACGGATGAAAAGAGATCCTATGAGAGAAACACAGGAGAGGTAATCTGAAATCAAAAGATTGAGGTAAGGACAGCAAACTTAATAGCTTGGCCCATAATAGAATAAGGAATACTACATCAACCATATGAATTCGGCATTAAGGATGGTAGAGCTAAACCATCCGGACCCACTATGGATGAGGTAGAAAACAGATACCCACAAATGTTTGTGGGTCTGGTACACAAGAGACTAGGGCATGGGAAGTCATAGACTTGGTATTAGAGATAGAAATAGGATAGACGCGGCGAAAATGGGAGCTAGTGGGTTGATAGTAGGTTATACAAGAGACGTGGTCCATGAGACAAGGACCTGACCATGAGACTTACTCAGAGGCTTTAGCCTCGAAGTAGTGCATTAGACGCAGATGAGAGGTAATAACGCCTCGAGTAGAACAGATGAGGTGGCAAAGGTCGAGTGAAATATG